AATTTAAAACCGATAATTAACGGATCATAAATAAACAAAAGGAAGATAAAAGATAACACAAATAGATGCAGCAATGAAAATGGTCACACACTTGCAACTCTCGAATAGCTTTTTCTCCGTAGACTCTCCCATCTGGCATCATCATCGGATGGTTTTCCTCGTTCAAGGCTTCACCAGAATAGGAACAGATCAACCTAGGATTATACTTCATCGAAAACCTTCATGAAACAAGACAATTTTAGTCCCAGATAACTCTAGTAGTTTTCTTGATAATTTTATCAAAAAAAGCTCACCTCGAATTCACCGTATGCGCATAAGGAAGCCCTTCCGCCAAGGCGAACGCACACGGCTGGCACGTTGGACACCTCTCGACACCTCCGGGGGAACAGTGCGGTGTTTTATAAGCGCTTAATCCACACTGAAGGCATATCGCAAATGCCGACTGTCGTGGGAGCTAAGAAGGAAGCAGTAACCACTGAGCTATCTTTCAAGTAAAAAAAGAAACGAACCTGATACAACGCAAAGACCTCCTCCCGGAATAAGTCAGCCAAAGCTTGCCATCGATGCTCGCTTAGGAGTTCCTTATAAGCAGGTACACCATTGGGAGCGCAGAGAGCAATAAGACCCATTAACTGAACAATAATGGCTACTTAGGAAAAAGTTTTCACATCGACATCTCAATGTGCAAAGCGATGTCCTTAAGTAATCAGTTTTTTTAATTATGGGATGAAAATTCACCTTCATGGCATCGTCACACCACTCATCTTTAGTTGCTCCCAGGTGTTTTCTAACATAGAGAAGAGCGTCTTTCACACGACCTTCGCGTACTAACTCGACAGCATTCTGAAATTGGCATAATGTGGGCATAATTGCTCGGGAAACATTCCATACATAAGGGCAGTCGACGATATTAACGAAAAAAAACTCTTGTGCTAAACTTCCAAACACCCTTGAAGGCAAGTGTGACCAAATGTGATTATTGAATAAAATTTTGCTGAATACATAGCAAGAACATTTGAACAACAATTCCCAGGTTCCTGCAACTATCGAAGTTCTACTCCTCGAAGAAGGGGACAAATGGACATACAGAGAGTAGTAAGGTGTGAGTGATTAAGTGGACGGGTGCTAAACGAAAACGAAAGAAAATTGTTATATTGTGACCATCTGCAGAGTTAGTGCCTGTGTTGTCATGTAGCAGAACAAAATCAATGAGAAATCAGGAATTTTTTCGCTATCATACCAATAAGCAAAAAAAAAACTAAGAAGCTGTGTCCATTTCCAACGCTCCCTAGCTTCTTAGTTTGTGGTCGAAAAGCTTCCAATCTCGTTATGATACTATTTATGTGCTCACAAGTAATAAACAATAGCAAGGGAGTAAAAATCAGGGCTGATAGGTTTAATAAGAGACTTGCAGTTTTTATCCGATAATTAGAAGATTTCCGCCACTGTTATAAAGGTGGACCACCGAGACGCACAAAGTAGAAGAATAGAATAGATCTGCACAATGAGATTATTTACCTGCACCCGTACCACTTGCTCCAACTTGCTATTCATTCTTCGCAGCTTTGATCGATGCTCGGCGATCCACTCCAAACAAGGTGTGGTGTCTTTGTTAAGCAACGCGTTGATAACCTCAAAACTAACAGTAGTAAGGTGAATAAGAAAGAAAGCCAACAGGAAAACTCACATGTTCAACCTTGGAAAAAACATCTAGATCTACTATATTCGTCACATTCATCTCTTTCGCTAGAGCTTTTGCACTTTCAATATGACCACATCTCAACATCTGTAGGCAGATGAGTCGTGCCACTTGCTGGCGATCACGACGCCACAGTTCAAGATCACGCGACGTTTTCTCACTCGAGAGATCCTGTAAACATAAGTTCACATGCTACTAACACTGTCCAAAAGAATACTAAGCAAAAGCGTGTTTCTTTCCACTTTTGAACTTTCAGACGTGAACACAAAACTTACTTCATTCCTCAAAAATTGGATCCTTGATTGCATATTTTTTATGAATTGTCTTTGCTTTTTGACTGCATCTTTCTTTGCAGCATCGAGCTGCTCAAGTTTAGATTTAAAATCACGAAAAGATTCTCGAGCCTGAAAAGGTCTGCTATTCACATCAGAAATTGATATTCAAGAAAGCGAAGGAAACGTACCGTTGCTACTGTAACACATCCATCCTTCTCAGACAAGACATTTCGCAATGATGATATTGACCGCTTAAGGCCCGCACCTGCCCGTTCCATGTTCTGAATGAAAATTTGGTAGCTCTAAATGGGAACTCAGTAACGGATCGAACAAGAAACCATAGCACCCACGATACTTCGCATTATTGTTCAAGTAATCCGTAAACAAAAAACATTGTTAAAACGGCATACATACCTTATGTCCACGTCGAAACTCCATGTTGAGTTCTTCGTAAGGAACTTTGAAGGTGGCATATTCAAGAACAGCATTTCTATCGAGTTTAACCATAGCTCATATGGAAGTTAAATATTTATCAATACCAAAAATAGAAACACAGAATGTCGTTAATCAGAATGAATAATCGTTCGAAATTATCCCAGGATCAGCTTGAACGCAATAACGATTATGTTGATCCCAATAAGAGGCACTGAAAAGAGTAAGTTCCCTAATATATTTGAGTTAAGGAGTGCTGCAAACTGTTTCATAAAAACTCTACGGAAGCCATTACATTATTGGTCACTCTAACAATGGAACAAATAACTACAACGTCACGGCAGACCTATTCGTTAGTTATCCGAGAAAAAGAAAACAGAGCATGAAAATGATAGGACTCATACGGTGCCAACGCGTCTGTCTGAATAGGGGCGGGGGTGGACACATTGTGCTGTAGTCGTGTTGTCTACGGCAATGCTGACGCTGCACAGGAAGCTCAGGGACGCGTGTGAAAGCAAAAACGAAACGTGCGCAGAAAACTCGCAGTCTTTTCCCGAAACCCCTACATGAATGGAAATGGATGCCCCACCATTAAAAACGATGACCTGTGCGGGCTTTGAAAAGCCAGTGTTTCTGTAGGTCGAATCATCGACCGAGGAACCCATTGTGTTATTAAGTGGTTTGCTATTACCCAGTTAAGAAATCGCAGCTTAATGTCAAGATGAGCCTCACTAGTGTTTGCGCTGAGACTAGCCAAGTGGTCAGCGTACATCTGCAGACTGGGCACCTGCTTACAGCTGAAACCGCAGCGTGATTTCAGGCTGAACGCAACGCGAACAAACCGCAAAATGTTTCAATGAAAACCCCTTTACGGAAGCCATTACTTAATTGGGTCTCATCCAGTAAGGGGGGGGGGGGCATCAAGTGGCTGCCCTCACCCCCACCCCCTAGACTGCCTACACTCCCCCTGGCGCACAGGTTTCTCGAAGTACGGGACCCCGTGAGCCAGGGGGAGTGAAGGCAGTCTAGGGGGGGGGGGGGGGGTGAGGGCAGCCACTTGACGTTGCATCACAATGCCCCCCCCCCTACTGATGAGACCATGATTAGTCACTCTAGCAATGGAACCAACTAACAATGGCAAGAAAAACTAAATACAAAGTATTCAAAGTTACTTACTGCGCATAACAGTTTGGACAGCCAAAACCAAACTGATGACTTGAGCTTTCACCGAACCAGAGTCCGATTCAAACGAATGAGAGGGAACGCCAAAACCGTACTGAATTATATCGTTGTAATAAAGCACAGACATCTCATCACGAAACAGTACAAGAAAACAAACTTTTTTCAAGAACCGTTCTCGATGCAGAACAGCTATACCGTTCAGAATCAGCAGTGCCGCTTCTAGAAGACCATAAAAAGACAAGGCCATAAATTCACGACGATGAAACTACTACTAAAACAACTGGCTGAACACTCGACAAACCACGCAGTCAACGCTTTGCAGCACGCGTCGCATGCGGAAGGCATTCGCATTGGAGCGTGCAATCTCTCAGAGCTTGATTCATTCACAGAAAATAAGAGCTCTGAATTCCTCTTTGTGAATTAGATCGAGCTCCAGAAGAGGGGGGAGCCAGTCTGTAAGAAGGTGACTATGACTAAGCCTATTGAAGAGGGACGACTTCCAGAGAGAATGAGAATTAATTACGCACCTCGTATTCCCTGTTCTCTTACGAGTAAGCTAGTCCTATCCTAGAACTGGGCGTGTACATTAATCTGAAGCAGTGTTATGGGCTGCCTTCCGGAGCAACATTGCGCCTTAGATTCACTCCAATAACATGCTGTGACTAACGACGCCACCTGACTTCAATGAAGCTTGGGAAAGGGAGAGCTTCTATATAGGTGCGAAGAACCTGAGAATTAAAAGCCGCAGGAAGCACTCATGAAGAAAATAATACAATACGACCAGTTCATTCGCACAAGGAACTTGTTTCGTCCATTCCGGGGCTTGCTCCTCTTCCACAAATTCGGATTACTATGGGCGGCACTAACTATTGCACCACAATCTCCTC